ATAGATCATCAGTTTAATTCTGGTAAGATGGCATGCAGAAATTATAAAATTAAAAATATGAAACCGTAATTTATGAAATGAAGAACAATTCTGATCTAAAGGGTATCAAAATTTACAAAAAAAAAAGCTTAATATTTATTTGTTTACTTTATTAAACATTTCTTTCAATGTAAGTTGTTTTAAGTTGCTTGCTTCGTTTTATGTGATAATACTTTCTCTTTAATTCTATAAACAGACATAATTTTTGTTCAGTTACAAAGTTCCGCTGTTCAAGTCCTATAATTGCTGTGTCGAGAATACGACTAATTTGTCAATTGAAATTTTTTTCGTTTTCAATAACCTCTGTCACTTTCTTCACTATCGGAAGCGAATTTATAATGATGAGGAATTTGATTTAAATCATATCAAAGACGGAGTACATCGAGATGAAATACTACATTTAGTAAGGAATTATAAGCCAAATAAAATAAAAACATCTGCCTGAAGACTGAGATAAGGATAGTGCTGACAGATCAACTTCCAATTCATTGCGCGCGCGGCGTTAAAGATTAAACAAAGTTTAGATAAACAAAGGATATGCCTTTATCCATTTTTGTGCAGCAATTCCACTTTTTGTTTAATGGACTTCGAAACATACTTTCGCTTTGTAGATCTTTTACATATTAGTAAATATATATCGGAAATTCTATTCGACATAATCGAAAGTTCAAGCTTACTTTTATAAAATTGCTCAAACAGTCTGCAAAAAATAATAAGCTGGATCTAATTCAAAGATTAAGGAACAACGCAATCTGCAACATTAACTGAACTAGATAATTTTAGCTTAGCTTATACCGTCCGTCATACATTAAACGTGCATGCATAAATGTATTAGGCGTATGCGCACACGCATATTCGCAGCTGTAAAGCCTGAAAGCTAAAAACTTTGAGGTCTGGATTATAGATTATTCCGGATTATGTGTGTCCGAATTAACGACTTTTGACTGTATTAACCTAAAGTTTTATGTTAGTAGAAAGGTAATTTAATCAAGAATGCAGTGCATCAAAAATTTGTTACATTATCTTTTCTGTCAAAGATTACAACAAAATAACCAGGGGGTAGCCAACTTGCTAAGGTTTATGTAAGGTAGTTTTCCATTTTTTGAATGTAGCCAGTGATCAAGAGTGTTCAGAGATAAGTGAGCTGTCATCTGTTTTTACAATAAGCCCCAGTTTGGTTATTATAGGATTCAGTTAATGATTCCATATTGTGCAGCTTAGAGGATGACTATGTGTTACAAGATTGCTCCTTTCCCCCTCCCCTGTGTGTGTGCATGTGTTTTTCAAGTTTATGGGCTTTTAAAGTGTAATAAAATTTCATAATGAGTTGACTGGGCACCTAGAAAATAGTTAAGTGAACAAAGCTACAGTCATGAAAAAAATCTAAAACTGGCAAAAACCAAAGGCCAGTAAAAACTGTTGCACATCATCATATAATGGCAGAAGAATAAAAAGACTGTCCTCAGATAATAAAAGGAAAAGAAAATTATCTGAATGTGTACAAGAAGAAATGGGGCAATCCAGTATCAGGTTGAGTGCCAAGACTGTTTGATGCAGACTGTAAATTTCATGTAAATGCTAGAATTCCATGAAAAAAGTCTCCCAAACAAAGGATGAAAAATTTTTAATGGAGAGTAGAACAATGGGATAATGTTATTTGGAGTGATGAGACCAAACTATAAGTATTTGGTAGTGATAGTGTAAAGCACATAAGAAGAATTGGAGATTTGCATTGATTGCTTTGCACATACTCTGAAACACCCAATCTGCATCCAAGATGTGAAGTTATATGGTATCAAAAAGCATGGGCAGAATTTGCATGATTAATGAGAATATGTATATCCAAAATTACATAAATGAAATACACAAGCTCAAAAAAAACTTCCATGAAGGCATTTCGTTCCCTTAGATATTCTTGAGTGTTTTGCATAATCAGATATCTACTTAACGATGTTCCAGTACTGAAATTGCTTGGGAATACCCCAAACTTCCTTGGTAATCATTAGAACTGACTTAAAAGAAACTTGTTGGACAGAAACAACTTGGCAATAAAGCATATTTAATGTTGTATGTCTATGATTAATGCTAAAAGCTACCTAATCAAGTATTAACTAACCTGATGAGAATGTTTTTCCTCTATGTAGTTCAGTTTCCTTCTGCATAACTGTTGTTCTGATTTTTAAAAAAATCCTTCATAAATCTTATTGCATTACAATCTTGATTTTAAATTACCTAACCACTGATATACCATTTTAAGCTATTACTCCAAGCAATGTAGTATGAGCCATAAAACTTCAAATGCAGTTTTTCCAAAAGGATTCACAATTCCATCCACTAGCGCTATCCCACGATATTGCACAAATGCAGCTTTGATGGCTAATGAATTAACTTCAGTGAAAATACTTGATAATGTCAAAGCTATTGTAATTTATTTTCTTGAACCACAAAATTTGAATAATATTGATTTAAATCTGTGAAGAGTACATTCACAATCAAGGACAGTTAGCAAGCATCATTTGCTTTCTCAAGGCCTACCTGTAGTTAAACAGAATTGGTAGTTTACATAATATGAGAAAATGTGCTTCTGTACAGTTTCAGAGTTAAATCCTAAATGACTCTTTCTTAATTTTAATGCAAATTAATCAAAAAAAAAAAGGTCCCCTTTTCCTGAAAATACAGGTTAATTGTTTTGGTGCTTATCATCTGTATGATAAGCAAAATAATTTACCGTATATACCCACGTATAAGTCGAGATATTTTGGACCAAAAAAAAGACTTCAAAGTGGGGGGTTGACTTATACGCAGGGCCATAAAAAATTAAAAAATCGGAAGTTCAAAAATTTCTTTATCTAAGCAGTTTGTTTTTCTTCCCACTCAATTGGACGACTATCAAAATAAGTCCTTGAAGTAATTTAAGACTTAAATTATGTGACAATAATCACATAGTTTCCCTTTAACTAGAGTAAGTTTCGATTAAACCAAAGAATTTCGGCCCCAAACAACCAATCAATATCGAGCAATAAACGCCACGAAAAGAGAAATGCAGATGTTTACGTACGTATCAGTCTTTTAATAGTTATTGTTCATTCATGAAATACTTTTGTTAACATCGTACAGGTCAAATTTAAAACATAGCCCACGCAATAACTGAAGCATTCGACCAACATTACAAAGGAAGGCAACATTAAAAGCCGATATACGTTAATTGCTCGGTGGGTTAAAGATGCTTGAACGAAATCCTTACATGATTATAAATCATTTAAAAGTTGTATTCAACAAACTAGCGCATGGAAGATGATGCTGTTTTTGAAAGTGAAAATGACTACGAAGGCTCTAGTAGTGATTGTAGTTTCGAGACTGAAAATATGTATGATGACGAGCCAATGACGACAGAAGGTTCTATGAAAGTTTGGCGAATCTAACATGAATCGGACGTTGAAGGATTTTTGGTTTTCTTTATTTACCAGGTATTTTTTTATTGTTTTTACTTTTTTTCTCAGATGATTTTGAATAAATGTAGTACTTAAAAAAAAATTTTCGAAGTTTCTCGATCGATTTCGGAAGTGGGGGGGTCGACTTGTACGCAGGTATATACGGTAATATTCATTTTTTGGCCAATACGCCATCATTTGATGCTGTGTTATTTTTTTGTAAACAGTCATAAAGCTGATCTTTTATAAGTTGTGGTTTGTACCTCCAGTTTTGTAGTGGTTACAGTCAAGCTGGAAAAGGAATAAAATAATACTGTTATGAGTTTTCATTATAGCAAGTGCTTATTATGTGCAGTTAATTTGCATATTGATGTATACCTGTGCTAACATAACTTATAATTAACTGTTGACAACAGTAGCAATGGTATGGTATCTGAGTTCACTTTACATATGAAGTTTTTATTTTAGAATTCCTTATTTAACTTGTTATCAGATCTTCCAGTTTTCCGGGTTATGCAAATTTGCTTTATCCTTCAGTTATTTTCCTTTCTTAAAATTTTATAATTTCTAAATCATTGGGCAAATTACATGCAAATTTTTGGCAAGGCAGATACATTGACTCTCCCACCAATGGTCAGTAGGTAAAATTGCTGATCGCTGGTACTTCTATTGGATATCAAATCCTGGTGAACAGGCTGGCTGCATGTTTTTTGTGGTTTTCCCCGCATGTAATAAAAGTACAAGTCAGTTCCCATTAGAAAATCCTACAGAAAGATATCCCTTCCCTTAGGAAGACTCCAGGGATGTCAACTTTGACATTTCTTCCAAATCATTTAGCCTGGAAATGGGAGGGGAACATGACCATTAAAGTGGACAACAGGGTGCTTTCAAACAGGTCACACAACTGACAATATAGTGGCCACCCATCCCGGAAAAGGCTAAATCTGCTTTTATCATCCTAACTTATGTATAATTTATTTGGCTATCAATTAAGAGGAATATTAAGCTGTGAATTAATTTTTATTATAGAAAATCCTCAATTAAGCAGCATTTTCTAATGTCATAAGAAGAATTAATTACCCTCCTATCTGCTTACTTGCGAGTTTTTTTTTTTTTTTTTTTTTCATTCCCCCTCCCTTTCTTTCTTTTGTTTTAAAGTATGTTCAGCTTATCTTCACAGTGTTAAAAATATATGGAAGATTGGTTGTATTGCCTACGGTATAAAAAAGGCAGGTACTCATTATGTCAATATAATGGAAAATCGTCTGATCTCTTTTTTAAGGCCAGATACTAAAGAACAAAATTTTTATGCAAAAAGAGTTTCATTTTGCTGGTGTTCAAAATTTAGTAATATTTTAAAAGTTATTGAGTTATCAAAAGCTTAATTTCAATCAACACAGTGTTGCCTTTTAGCTTCTATTAGTAAGTGTTAAATGTAAAAAAAAAAAAAAACTCATGCTCTTTTAATAGTTTTTCCCTGGCTTTGCATTTCATTTATTAACAAGCATTTTCATTTTATCTTTTCTACAGCAAAGTTAAAGTTAGAGCAATCTCTCACTTCAATACCACCTCAAGAAGAAGATTCTAGTTTCGAAGTTGCCTCTCCAAGAGATGGTTCTACTACTACTATAAGGGTATAATTACAACACTTTTAGATGAAGCACTTATTGTTTAGCTATACCACCCTTAAAAATAATAAAACATCGTTTTATAAAGTAACATAAATCTCTTAATCTTAGAAAGCTGTTTTATAGTTCATTAAATATTTTATTTCCATGTATAATAAAAAGTACTTTTAAATGTCTGAAATCTTAAAAGATATTATTTTTTTAGGGAAAAGTTGAAAATGATAAAACTACTAAGAAAAAGGAGGAAAGGAAAAAAAGTCGAGAAGATGAAAAACAGGAGAAACGCAGACTGAAAGAGGAGGTACAGCTATCTATATATTTCTGAGGTTCCTCATTAATTGTTTTGCCCAAGATTTTCTCCATTAAGCAGTTGAAATTGTAAATTCTCAATGATTGATTCTTGGTATGCTTTAATGGTTTGCCCCCTTTTTTAAAAAAAAAAGTTAAATTTGGAATCAAATTTAAAATAAAGCATTTCAAACAATAAATTGTCTTACAAGAGAGCTAGTTGTAGATTTTATGATTTATTGCTATGCTATTTTAAGTTAATCCATGAATCATTTTTTATAAGAAATTTACTTTTGAAAGCTGTCAGGCTTCAAAATATTATATTATTAGAGGGCCAACCAAGTGACCAAGTGTTTTAAATTAATCGAGCAGTGGTAATTTGATCCACCAGTATTCTTCTAGTTGTTCACTAAGCTGGCTGCTTTCAAATTTCATGGTTTTCCTCTTGCAGTGTGAGTATGAGACACTATCCCTTTAAAACTCCTTTGCAAAGCCATCTCTTCCTATGGCAGCAATCCTATCTTCGTTTCTTTCAGAAGTGGAATTTACAAGTAATGGTTTTCATTGTAGTCTACATCTACTGGTATTTTTAATTAGAATTTTATAATTCTAAGTACTTCATATGTGCCTTCAAAACACTGGAGAGAAATGTTTTGGCAGCTGACTTGTTTTATTCTTTGATTTGAAGGTTGCTATAATATTTAATTGGAAGAGAAGCATGCTGGTGTAAAATTTAAGATTGGGCCAAAAAAAAAAACTTGATTGGCATTAAATTATGAATAAAACTTTATCGGTTGTGAGGGTGGTATACATAGGCCCTTGATATTTAGAGCCTTAGCAAATGGGTTGTCTGTATTTGGGTTTACCCCCATCTAACATAAATACAAATCAGCTTCTTTTAGGCAATTCTTTTAAAAAGGGATCCCTTCATGTTGTCAGATAGCCATTGCTTGCTTTAAAATCTTCCTCTTAAAGAACAAAATTTTTACAAAGTTGATAGAAGTGAGAAATGTTTTATATGGAACTCAGTAGGCAGGGCAAGGCTAAAACAGTCATTGTACAGCCTGTCAAGGAAAAGAGGAATGAAACATGAAAAGGCTAAGATATTAGAATTTGGGAAGACCTGGATTGGAATTCCTGTCATTAACAAAGTATTCATTTTTATGAATGAGAAAGGCTTCAAGGAAATTCAGTTCACCAAATGAAAATGTTTTGTAGTTAATTTACACAAAACCAAATAAAACTTTTCGTTATGAATCAACTATAAATTAGCTCTCAAAGATTTTATTTCTTCTATTTTAATTCAGAATTCACGTTCCTTGATGTGAAAAATCCATGTATTGCTGTAGGAGTTATTAGCATATGCAAATTAAGCAGTTTTTATTATTATTTATTAGTCTGTGAATATCCATGATTATCAGGTGACTTATTAACCATGTCACTGCATCAGGCATTAATGCTAAAGGGAAGGTATATTGCATAATTCTGTCCAAAAATTTAGAATAAAAGCTATTTTGTGGAAAGATGCAGCAGTGTGGGATGATGCTATCAACCATCAGCTTGCTGGGGACATCGAAAGCAGTCTCATAGATTCAGAAGTTTGAAAATTGATTGCTATTTGTTAATCATGTTTACAATTAAAAAAAAATATGTAGTAAAATTCCTTTGTAAAAAATCTTTTATGTTTTTGTACAGTTATGCATTAATTGCATTACCATGCATTGTAAGTTCACTGAAATGTAAATATTTCAAATGCTAACTGATTTCTGGCTGACCTTGTACTGCATACTAACCATCAATGAAATTTTGTAACAGAAGAAATCATTCAGCACTGGGTCACATTACCTCTGCTTTTCTTTACACATATTTTTTCAGATCCTAACTCTGTTGAAAAATGTAACTGCACATATTTCTGAACTTTTAGATGCAAATTCAGCTATATGTCTTGCAGAAAGTTGTGCATGGGGGAAAATATCTTCCTAGTCTGAAACAAGTTCTGCTGGATATAGTTAGAGTAAACTGGACTGATGATGAAAGTATTTCTAAAGTATATTTTTCTGAATCTTTTAGGAGCAAATTCAGCTTATGTCTTTTGGAATTGTGCATGGGAAACTTGAAGAGGTTAATTAAAAAGCAGAGCTTTATATACTGCATGAAAAGGCTAAGTTAGATTGGGAGACCCTGGATGAACGAAGTCTTGTCTTTAATATGTGGTTCTTCATTTTAATAATGATCCTGTGACGGCTTTTGAAGGATGAAAATGGACAAACGATCAGATTCACCCTTAGAGTGGGAATTTACATTGACAATAATAAACTTTCGTTATGTGAATCGTTAAATTCGGAAAGTCATCAGATATTTCGTCTTGATAATGGAAATCCAACATTGCGTAATGAAAGTTTGTGCGGTTTTTATATTATACATTAAGCTTTTTGGGTGTATAAAATTATCTCAAAAAAAAATCCACTCTGCATTTATTAACTTGAAGATTGAAAAACCTTCCCACTTTTACGGAATAAAAACGCTTTGGAAAATTGCAAAAACATGGAATCAATGGGTTTGCCTTGTCCCATAGTCCTTTGATGCTTAAACTGTGTACACAAAATCGGGAAACGCTGAGTAAAAAGTAAATACTTCGTTACATTTAGTATAGTATGGTAATATTAAAAAAAACAAAAACACTGTTCAGTTTTTGTGCCCCAGAAAAAATAGTAACATTTCACGTAATTATATTTGCTATTATAATCGTATGTCTAGGTTAAGCTGTAACTTTGGCTTTCCAAAGCTCGATTGATTTTTTTTAATCATAGATGATGTGTACATGGACAAATTTAAACAGTGCGCAATGCCTAGTTTGTGCAATTCTGGGATGTTTTTTCAAGTGAAAACAAATTGATGTGTACATGGACACACAGTTTATGCAATTCTTTGACTTTTTATTTTGGTTTTGTGTAGCGGCCATCTTGAAATTGTGTCTTCCTGACGCCGATCTTGCCGTCAAAAAAGAATCTCCAAAAAACAAGGGGCACCCAATTGTAAACTTTTACCGTGTATTTACACACATAGTGTATAGTCAAAGAATCTTTGGTATAGTATATAAACGTTCTTTGGATCATTTTTGGTGTTGGCGATAATTTTCAAAATCGCGCCAAGGCTACACCGTATACTAGTATTTTACCTAATAATTAATATTTTACCTAGGCTCAAGTATTAAATTATTTGTGTTTCAGAGCAAAATATATAACCATCAACTTCTATATCTCCAGCATATGTAAAGGAAATACTTCGACATATTTAGTGTATGTGGCAATATTTAAAAAAAAAAACATAAACTATTCAGTGTTTGAAAGTTACTAGAAAAAAGTAACAGAACTACTATTTCTATTTAATAAAAAATCATTTAATGTTTTTTAAATAGCAAGCTGTTAAAAGTACAATAATTAGTAGCAATGCTGATGATTTTTAACATCATTTCTTTCGATCATATGTAAATATATTTATATACGCTAAATTTAGACAATGGTAGATTTTCACGGTCATTTTATACATTTTTTCAAATCTATAACATTCCTTTGGGTACTTTCCCTCGGATACTATGTAGAAATGATTTGAATAATAAACACAATAGTAAGAATTGCACATTTAAATCTGCTCTTCATTAAATAGCACACAACAAAAAGTTTTTTCCCATTTATCTTGAATTTTTTTGCTATCACAAGCATGTACAAAAATTAACAATGAAAATGGAATGTATTCAAATGTAATAATTAAAAAACATAACTTGCAACATTCGTATTCATACCAACAGATATACTACAAATTCCAAGAGAAAAATAACAGAACTGCAATTTGCAGTTAATGTAAAATTTAATGTTTTTAAAATTTATATGATTAAAAATGCAATAATTATGGATTACAATATTTAGTAGTAATGCTGATGTTTCTTAGCACCATTTCTTTCAATCATATACATATTTTTAGCTTCTAAATTTTAGGATAATGGGAATTATGATTATCATGTATATGCTTTTTATTGCCAGTTGTGTATGTTGTTTGTTAGGTTATTTCATTTCAAATATGAATGTTGGAAGGCTTTTTTGTTATAAGATTTAGGTATGTTTCTTGTATGAAATATTTTTATCACATTTATTAGCTAATTTATACAGCATTTCATTTACATACGCTGGAGATATAGAAGTTGATGGTTATATATATTTTGCTCTGAAATGCGAATAAATTAATACTTGAGCTTAGGTAAAATATTAATTATTATCTTAAGAACCCCTTCCCAATTTATCATGACAGTGGTAATTTTCAATCAGCGTTTAAATTTTTGTAAAATGTTCGTTTGTTTTTCGGTTCTTTCAATTATATTTATGCACAATGTTAATTAAAATATCTGTAAAAAGCTTAAAAAGTGTGTATGTATATAATGCCTCCTTTCTTTCAGCTATTTTAATTAACTAAGCAACATGATAGTTATATTTCCGACGAAAATTTAAAAATTCAGACGACTTTCCGACGATAACGTTGGACGGAAAGCTCTGCCATGTTTACTAAGTGTCATGGCCTTCTCCCTCTCGAAGGTCACGGTGAAATATTGTATATCATGCCTGATACAGAAAATGGAGTGATATGTAGTTAATGATAGTATTGGTGTACTTAAGTCAGGTGTAGATTTTCTGTTATGTTGTCTTATGCATGATTTATGTTATGAAAGTTTATGCTGTCTTCTGCTGTGCCTATCACAAGGCATCTTACACTCTTATTACGGAATGTTTGCCAGTTGAAGAGGATTGATTCTTCATGTAAACATGTTAATAATGATATTGCAGTCTACCTCTGCACTTGTTAGGTAGTATTGCAATTTTTTCATAGCATTGTTGAACTTGTTTCCTGGAGACAATTTTAAACTATTTTCTTGATATCGAACTGTAGCCATTTAATGGGCTAAATTATTCATCTATGTCCACCCATCTCACATTGTTCAAACTTGTATTCTTGGTCTATTTTGTCTATCTTGCATCTATTTTAATGTTCATAAACTACAGATGCCCATCAGCACAACCATTTGGCTTCTGTATGTGCTATGCTGCAACCCTTGTCAGAAACTGTTGCTTGGTAAAAATGCTGAGTTTCATTCTGTAGCTTAGCTGTAAATGAAATTGCCAATTTCATATCCTGTTTTTCCCCCTAGGGTACATCATGTTTTGCTTTGTCCATGGCACAGATTTGCAAACCTTATCTGTTATTGCGTCATATTACGATAATGAGCTTTTGCATTAGAACAGTCTCTTGCATATTTCCACCACAGTATTAATATAGGAATTACTGTAATATTTCTGAAAATTTGTCAATGTAAGTGTAACATTATTAGAGAAGTCTGGAAATTTTTAACTTTTTTGTTTTATTTTGTCCAAATTCTTCAAATGTTCGTTTGTTATACTCGTGTGAGAAAGTCTGCTGTGCTTCAAACCAGTTGATAGCATTTTGAGCTTTATTGAAAATGCATTAAATGACTTAAATATGATCTTGGTTTTATTGGCATTCTCACTGATTCAGTAGCCATGCTTTAACTATCTAGTTTTCGATAAAGGAGAGGATGCATTTTTATGTAACACTCTAACCAAATGAGGGGCAATGATATTTTATTTGGAACTGTGTATTTTAAAATAATAAGTTGCCATCTCTGCCCCACTCATACCTAACAGATATAATGTGAGGGAATTGAGCTATATTTTTTTAGTCATAATTTACGCCTGTGCTGATAAAAGAGTGATTTTTATTTTTCGTTCCTTGTGTTACACGGCACATTATGTGGGTACTTTTATTTCTTAATTATTATGCTTTTGAGGCTAGATTAAAATGTCAGAATACCGTACTATATAACATTGTATCAAAAAAATGTACTATAAGTAGTAGTATTTAAAAGTAAGATCTGCTACTATTGAACTCCAGATTGCATTGAAGAAAATGCTGCTGATCTTGTACATGAATGATATCAATTAAAAGAAGCTGCTGTGTAGTTAATCCATGAAACTTTCTTAAATTTGAAGATTTTTATCATGAAATATGAACTTTCTGACAAAATATGGCAACATTCTGTAATTTAAAAAATTGCAAAATAGAGCTTGCTTGCTGAATGCAGTAACATTCACCTGATTTTATCATCCAGTATCAACCAGCTCTGTGGATAATATTCCAGTATTGTATAAATAAATGGGTAGATTTGTTTGTTTTTTGCATATGTTGCTAAACAATCAATGCAATTTACAGGCTTGTCAACTGCCAGATTTCAGCCATGTGGCCACCAACCTGATTTACAATATATTTCACCTATTTTTAAAGTTCTGGCAACTTTCACTTAACTTGGCTTAATATTTTATTTGCACTGCAAAACACAGTTTCTAATGTAGTGTTTTAAAGCATTTTTTCAGTTCTTAATAAACTTTATGTGCACTAGATGCAGGTCATGGGACATCCATTAGCCATGCTTGCTAAGTGATTAAGCGATAAGATTTTACATGCTTTGAGAAATTGATTTTATAATCTTTTATGGTAGTTATATGCCTAGTTATAATAGATGTCTGAAAAAAAAATTAAAATACTCATGTCTACTTGTTTCTTTCTAAATCATAGGTGGAATAAAGGCCCACAAGCGGCCAAGCGGTAAAGTCGCTGAACACTGGTAGTTCGGTCTGAGGTTCGAATCCCGCGAACGGGCTGGCTGCATAGGCGTTTTCGTGGTTTTGTAACGTGTATACGAGCCAGTTTCCCTTAGAAAGTCCTCCAGGAAGGCATCCCTCCCCTTAGGCAGATAGCCCCAGTTTGCTTTGCCATAATTAAATACCACCATAGGTGGAATGTATGGCCCTAAACTAAGCAGGCAATGTAAAAGCTGTTTATTATGCAGGGAGAGTAAAGCATGAACAAATTAAGCTGCTTACAGTACATAAGAACCAACATTTAAAATGCATGTTCTGTGTGTTTGCCCTCTAGCATTTTTATGTAATCAGACTGCAACACTAAACACCACCTTCATGAGAAAATTGGAAAAAATAGCCAGAATTTTGTGCTTAATTATGTTTTGAGCTCACCTAAGGTATTACGGTCAGTGTGATGAACATTATCCTTCCCGCAAGTCCTATAAAGAAAACAGTCTGATAGATTGAGGATAGGTGAATACAGGTGTAAAACCACACCATAAAGCTTTAGATAAATCAGTGAGATGGCATTTTGTCCAAAGTGTTCATGCCAGAGTTTGTAAATGATAGTAATGTGGTGGAGAAATAAACTATCTTGCATAAATCTAATTTGTAAACACAGGCCCAAAATGATAGGAATCAACTCATTCTCAACAAGCTTGCTGTTGTAACTATGAGATGACACATTCTTCCAAAAGTTCTGGTCCTACAATCCTAATGGTCCACTATGGCTGAGCAACAATGTTGCTGAACACTGGTAGTTCGACCAAGGTTTGTATCCCTGCACACAAGAAGACTGCATAGGACCTTCCATGTGTAATGTGGATAGAAGCTAGCTTCCCTCAAAAAGTCTTCTACGAAAACATGCTTCCCCATTAGAAGATAGCCTCCAAGTTGTTTTGCCTTAATGAGTTACCCTACCAGCAATCCTAATCATGGCAGCCACTCCACATTTCAGGTGATTACTTAAAACAGTTGCAACATACAAATATTCTGTTTTCCCTATCTGCTGATTGACTAAACCATCTAGCCAAAATTTTGTTCATGAGGTTTGTTAATCTATGGCTGTCTTGGCCAACTTTGACTCTAAATTCACCTGAAGTAGTCATTGACCCATTGTAAACTGTCCAAATTTGCTCATCAATTATGATTATCTGCTATTTTGTGTGGAAGCCCAATTTTTTAATTCTGTAACATGAAAAAAAAAAGAGATTAGCAAAATGTGTCAATACCACAAACATGTTACATAATTCTGATACCACTACACCCCCTATAAACTAAGATACTGACATTTAATGAATGTAAAATTATTAAAACTTTGGAAAATACAGCTTCTGTGGATAATGTTTAGTTGTTTGGGCAGAGGGTGCACTAGTAATGGTTGTCTTGAAGACTGGTTTTGTAGATGTTCAGATAATAAAATTCACATTTTCAAAGTACAGAATGTATCTTTAACCTTTTAAATTAAACAGCTGAAAAAGTGACAAGCATTTCTACCAGTAAGTCTTAGATGAGTACATTATTGAAATTTTTTGTTATCTTTAAAACAATTCTGGAAAGAAAGGGTGAATAATTTCCAGTGAGTGATAATAAAACTAAAAGATACTTTTGGAATTTAAAAATATAAAATATTCTGAAAAATAATGTTAGTATGCTTTATGCTTTTATAAAATGTTGGATGTAACTAATGAATAAATGCCTTAAGTTGCATGTATGTATTCATGAATTAATATTTTTAGTGTGAGAGTAAATCACCTGTGCACTTGAAAAATAGCATTTTGAAATTTGGAGAAATTACCTACACCATTATAGTTTATATTTTTTCATTATTTTATAGCATTTTAGCAGTTGATTTTTTATTGCTGTGTATTTATAGGTGAATAGATTTTATATACTTTTTCTTAAGATGTAGAGATCATCATTATTAGCATTACTTTGAAAAACATTATTTGTTTAATATATCATTAAACTTCTACACTATTCAAGTATAATTTTTGGTGTTCGTGAGAAATTATGCTTAATATCAATAATGAAAGCATTTATGTACAGAAAAGTTTTGATATGAAAGATAATTTGTGAGTTCCATGTAATTATATTCTGTATGTAATAAAATTTAAGTTGTTTACTCATGTAAAAAGTGCACTTTTACTCATCTCATTAGGAAAGGCAAAAGAGGTTAACTGAAAAAAAGAAAAAGAAAGCAGCTCAAGGAAAGACTGGAACTATAACACAACAAATACAAGGCATTGAAGACTTTATGCAGTCTGAAGACAATCCTACACCCTTATTTGTTGAAAAATGCATTAAATTTATTGAAGAAGAAGGTTTAGATTCTGAAGGAATTTATCGTGTGCCGGGAAACAGAGCTCATGTTGATCTTCTCTTTCAAAAATTTGATGAAGGTAATAAATGTCATTTATAGCATCACAAAGTAAATGCTTAACTTGACAACACCAGTTTTCTCTAAATCCATACTATTTAAATCTGTGCTTTTGTCTTCCCACAACAAACAATGAAATTTAATTCGTATTTTTCACTAAATTATATTATCTAAGTTTTTTCATACAAGTGTTAACATATTGTGATATAATATGTGCATATACCTGACAGAATCATGATTCAGTTGGCCTCATAGTGTTATTTTTTCCCAGTATTAAATTCCGTTGAATATATTTTATGAAGGATGGCATTGGAAGTTCCACTGTATATGACACAAGAAAAAGGAACTTTTTGAATTTTTTGTGGAAGCATCTTAAACAACTTGCATTGAAAGAAATGTTTAATAAAGTAAACAAATAAATATTAAGCTTTTTCTTGTAAATTTTGATACCCTTTAGATCATTATTGTTCTTTATTTCATAAATTATGATTTCATATTTTTAATTGTATAATTTCGGCATGCCATCTTACCAGATTTAAATTGATGATCTACTATCTATCCGGAATCACCGAAGTCCCAACCAGTCTGGATTTCGGACTTTGTACTGTACATCAGAAATCTTAAATGTTAGTCCTAATGGTGAGTTCTGAAGTAGGGCAAGTTCACGATATGCAGGGGCTTAAACTTTTTGCCTTTCTTAAATCAGAGAGATGTAAGCTAGGCTTTTGCAAATGCTTTGTTTTTGAGGTCCTCTGGAATTGCATTAGAATTTTAGTAAATTAGTGTTGCCAAAGTCATGCACTTTTTTCATATTGTATAATCTTGTGCTCACTTTTTATTTATTTTTTTTAATATCTAAATTGTCATTCTTTGTTAACTTCTGGAACATTGTGCAGTAAATCGAGCATAAGATAAAACTAAATCAAAATGTGAGGTAAAATTACTTGAGTTGGAAGCAAAGTTCCACACCTGTACTCTGAAATCTTGCCGTATCTTTCCCTGAAGATGTCAAGGTTTCAGGTAATTCAGCTTGATGTTTTGTTTCATCTCGCAGTATTTTTCTTTTCTGTGGAGAAAAATTGTGCTAGTTTGACATCTTAAAACAGATATGCATTTAAATCATATGAATTCATTCATCCCAACCAAAAGTACTCTTTTCCTAAAACCTTGAATATTAGAATGACAAATTATATGTACATACCAAGTATCTCAAATTTTGTGAATGAAATAGCTTGAACCTTTTTGTATTGAGCATAAACTTTTACTAAATTTACTAAATATAACTGGAAACACAGCAGCTGTCTGAAAGATTAGATTTTTGTGATAGCCAAAACTGATTTTTAAATAAAAAAAATGCCAAAACCTGAATATTTGCATCATTTAAAATATTTTTCTGATGGGGAGTATGAGGGTGACTCTGAATATAAGTTCTGCTCAGGAAATCAAACAGCAGTGGAGAAACAAGCAGCTGCAGAAATGCAAAAGACACCTATATACCAGGACATAGAAGAGGAGGGCTAGTTCATAGAGCTTTTCCCACTGAAACAAGAAGTGAGGAGTGATGATGTAGTCATATTGTCACTGACTGATATTGTCACTGACTGCACAGATGCAATTCACAGCAAAAAAAAAATAATAAACATTTTAAATTTGAAGAACACCCTTAAAAAATTGTGCATGAAAAAATAGCTGTAATTTAGAAGAGATGTTATTACGTGTGCATTTATAACATTTAAAAAAAGTGCTTATTTATTAAATTAAAAATAATAGATAAAATATGCTGTGTTTTTTTAAAAGTTGAAGATTTTCCCGTGTGTATATGTTATTAAATTATGAAGAAAAAAACTATGGCATTCGTTATCTTTTCACCTTGTGGAAGTACTAAGTGGAAGAATTCTATTACTCTTTTCAAGATAATTACAGCTTTTTAAAGTTAGGCCCCCCAAAAAAACTTACTTTGGCATATAGTTTTGAGTATATATATATATGTCCTCTTTTTTTTTTTTTTTTTTTTTTTTTGTAGCTGAAGAAGAGGAACTTGCATTTAAAATGCCCTTGAAATTGTTAGTCTTATTCAAAATTTAAGCTAAGATTGCTTTTTTGACGTAATTATAAATTTTATGCTGGCATGCTGCTCTTCCAATTTTATATAGCAGATGTTTTTTAAATAATTATCTAACTTGTACTGTTATTTGTACATGTACACTACATTTAAATAAGTACAAAATCGTTATCGTAAGTTTGACAAAGCAGATTTGCTCAGAGTATTTAAAGAGAATAACTTTTTCTTTCAAGAGAAGTGCAGTGGAAGATCTTTTTTATACGAAATTCCTTTGCCATTTTATCTGATTGTAAATTAGTTGAAATGTTGAGTTATCTTTGTTTTTTTACAAGTTATCAATGAATTCTTGTTTATTTTTACGGTTAGGATATTCACCAATATTTTCATCGGTCATTTTTATAGTAATTTGTGAGTTCTATTTTAAAAATCATTGGTATCTGATTTTTATTTCTATCATCATTTTCGTGGTCAAGCTCAAAATGAAATTTCTTCACTCCTAATCCATGTAGTGTGTCAAAAGCACTCTGCATTATTTTTCTTTACTTGGCGCATTATTGGATTTTTAGTTTCTTTTGTGGCAATCCAAGCAAGCAATTTTTCATGTCATCCTAACAATCACTGCATAGAAAATGTCCGTGACAAATTCTTGCAATATTCACATTAATAGAATCCTTTTTTTGACACTTGTATCCATTTATTTTCACCAAAAGTAAATTCCCCATTGGAAGAATAGGAGGTATAATACCCCTGTCTTATGGCACTTTGCACCAGCCCAAGAAGACATGTTACATGAACTATACTTGACAACTGTGGTCTCAAACTTGCATTGCACACAGGCCAGTGCACAATTTGAAAGTAGCCGATGAGCAGCAATTACCAAAAAAAATTTTTTAATTTGAAACTTTTTACTAGATATTAAAAAGAAATATAAAGAAAAATATAAAATCTTTATTCATATTTTGCCTGAAATCTAAAAGTGTGTGGCTGCAAGAAAATTCTGTTGGTTGCAATTTAGAATTCAAACAGACAGCTAACTATTAAAATTTTCAGGTTATCATTTATTCAACTATGCTACATAGTGACATTAGAGTATGTCCTTTAACTCCTCCTGCAAGGATCGTATCGGGGAAGAGTCGCACAAAGGAATAACCTTTAACCCTTCTTATACACCATTGGGTAACAATTGACCATGATCAAGCAGATGGCACTGTCGCGGTGCCTGCGCAAAGCGGAAATAAGCCTCCTTTCTGAGTCTGGTCCCAGTAGATATAGAGAGAATGTGCATTTTGTATTTGTGGTCTAAGGACGAAGTGAGAGCTGTAGTCCAGTCCGCTATGAATGGGCATGTGGAGTCTCATTAGCAAAAATCCATAACCGCCTTGTGGAAATGTTTGGGCCAGATGTGATATTAAAGCAAATAGTGCGGAAATGGTGCTTCGCACTCATTGAGTGTAGTTGGCAAATGTTGGACAGACTGAGACCTAGGCAGACATGAAAGGCCACTACAGATGAAAATGTCAGGATGGTGGATGACATGATTAACCTAAAACATGGCCAAAATTCTCATAATATAAGCCTTCAGATCAATGCGATTCAAAATATTTTCCCCCTCTTTGACTTTTTCCTATTGGGGAAAAGTCGATAGAGTGGTCATTTGTCCCCTCCATGGATGCAGTAAATTTAACATGTTTGTTGGATGCTGTTCAGTAGTCTAGAATGGGTTGCTATATTTGTGATTTTTTTTTTTTTTTTTTTTATGTTTGCTTTAATTCAAATTAACCTATGTCCAATATAATGTTTATCTAGAGCAAAATATATGCAATGTTTATATATCATTCACTATTTCTGACCTATCTCACAATATTTTGTAAATTTTATGACTGTTTTCACCCTTAATTTATATTCACATATTTTCTTATTAGAAATTAGAAACGAGAACAAAACTTTACAAAATATAATAAATATAAACTAGCATTATAGGTCTGCAGGTTGGAATGTGATTTTTTATAATCTACTTTCATTAACAAAATAATAGTAATGAATAATTTAATGAAATAATTAAAATAAGATTCATTACAGCTAGATTTTTAGATGAACTTGCAGCAATATTAAAGCTTTAAATAGCAATAACAAAGCTTTAAATCTGCTAGAAAATCAGAACTATATGGGTTGTTTTGATCATTTAACTTTAGCAAATATTACATTGAACTATCAGGCAAAGGAGGCATATCTTTAAAGAGAATTTTCGTTGTAAAACTGGCTTTTGTTTATGTTAGCAGGGGGTGATCTCGATCTATACATGCAATCCATTTTATACCCTGAAGCAGTGAAGTGAAATCTGATGAGAATTTCTTAAAACTTCCACTTTTCGTGGCGTCAAGGAGAGAGGAAGCTCTTAAGCTTCATTTTAATATTTGCTAAAGTGAATTTTTAATCTATGATTTAAAATTTTAGAAAATGTGAATTCATCAAAAGTACTTTTTCAGAACAGTTTTAAATGTTTATAAAGAATTATACGTCAGTTTCCTTTCATAGGCAGATTTTGTCTAAAACCATCATTATATCCAAAGGTTGAAGTTTGCTTGATTTTAGGTGAGATGGATGTACGTATGTTTTACATAATAAATTGTTCAATTTATTTTTAAAAGAGTAATCTTATTTTCTAAGGAATAAGGCCATACTGGATGCTTACACTTACAATGTGGTAAATCTGTTTTTCATATTTCTTCTAGTAATCGAAATGATTACCCTGGAATATTTCCAAACCAAAATTAAGAAAACTGTTAATGCCATATTTTTCATAAAGTATCCTCTTGTGTATTTTTTATTTAAAGTGTGAAATTTTCTCTTTGGAAAAAATTTTAAATCTTGAATGGACCAAAATAAATTCATGAGAAATAACTTTAGTTTAATAATTGCATCGCAATATGAAATCTTGAAGAAAAGTGCAATACAGTTTA